TATTATATATATAAAAAGCTCAAGGGCAAGAAAACAAGAATTTATATATTTATGCCAAAATTATGGTTTAAAATATAAACATTTTATATTAGATGTAAAACATTGGTGGAATTCTACCTATGCTATGTTAGAAAGTTGTATATCTCATAAAAAAATTCTTTTTTATTTTTATAATTTAAAAATGCCTAATGATATGATATTTGAGGAAGTCTAAGAAATGACAATCTGTATAAGAGATTTTTTAAAACACTTTTATGATGCAACAAATGAATTATCTAAAATTTATTATCCAACTAGTTGTAATTTACCGTATCAATTAATGGTAATTAGTGATTGTTTTGCCAAATATAGAAATAATCAACAATTTCAATGTATTGTTTAAATTATGGAAAATAAATTTAAAAAATATTGGGAGAACATTTCTCCTCTTTATTGTTTAGCTACAATATTAGACCCTATGATTAGGAAAGATGGTTTAGATATTTTACTTGAAACATATTATGAAAATATGAATATTGATATAGGAAATAAAACAGAAGAAATTAATAATTTATTATTTGAAATGTACAATTTGTATGAATCTGAAGTTGTAGGAAATATTCCTATAACTTGTTCATCATCTTCTTCTTCTCCTTCTAACTTTGAGCCCAGTAGTAGAAGAAAAAAGCTTTTTTATTTAATAAGTAGAAGGCAGAAATTTGCTGGTTCTACAACAATTTCATTTACTGAACTTAATTTTTATTTGCAAGCAAACTTTTCTAATTTCGGTGAAGTATCAAATAATTTTGATATTTTAACCTAGTGGAGTGAACACTCGAAAAATTATCCGGTTCTCGCTGCCATGGCACGTGATCTACTAACCCCTCTGATGTTTATAGTTCCATCGGAGTCTTGTTTTAGTGTAGGTACCAGGGTGTTGAATGACAAAAGAAGCTGCATGAACGATAAGAGCATAGATATGCGCATTTGCTTCAAGGATTGGCTAGATGCAGAAGATAGATTACAAGACAAGGGAGGGCATGATAGGACACTGGACATTTCACCCGAAGCAGATGATGAAAGTCATGAATGATGATTCATGAATTTGAGTACTTGTAGAAATTTTCATTTTTTCAAATTATTGTAAAAATTTTAAAGTTTATTTAATTTATTTGATATATATATTTTTTAATTTTTTAACAATGTAATTTTGTATTTTCAATTTGTAACCATATTATATTTTTTATATTTTATTAATTTATTCCACTTTTATATTTCATTCATCCAAGTATGCAATGATCTAATCATTGTATTTGTAATTCACTAATTTGTACCATTCAAATTTAAATGAAATAAAATTCCTATTTTTCTTCCAATTTGTTATTCCATCATTCTTATTTCAATTTGGTTAAGTATTTTTTTTTTCATTTTTGTATTAAATAACTTAGATTTCTCATTTCTTAATTTTTTAAATAGTTCTTAATTCCCAAAGTTCATAGGAAAGTTAAATATTTTAGTTTTATAATTTTACTTAGAAAAGAAATCAAAATTTTCAAAAAAAATAAAAAATAAAAACATAGTGTAGTCCGGTTCGGCCTAGGCCCAAGGCCTGCCCTGTGGCCCAGGCCGGTACGGTCCAAGCCCACGACACGGCCTGCAACCCGGCCTGGCCCAGGTCCACGTGCCGGTATGGCACAACACGGGCCTGCTTGGGCCTGGGCCGTGGGCCGTGTTGGGTTGACCCTCAAAATTTCCACCGGAGAGGACGACACGACCTGCCTAAAGGCGGGGCCGCCCACGAGCCATGCCATGCCGGTCTAGCATGGCCCACTTTACACCTCTATTTGGACCCACACATACCCAGTTCGGAACATATTATGCCGATAATGAATAAATAAGGGCCATTTGATTCTGATCTATTGTATAGATGTATAGGTTTTATTTTGGGCTGGGCTTCTCGACCATCGGATTGATTCGAATGGTGTGGTCCTTTTTCTAAGTTATGGCACATCAAAATATCAGGAATTTTAATCCATACATGACATGAATGATAATGAATCATATGAATCATGAATTCATGATACATCATCATGATGGAGTTGAAGACCAAAACATCCCCCATCCCTCAAGATCCCTATCTTTCATTGAGAATCTAGAAAGCTTGCATAGTTGTATAGCTCAAAGTCTTGTATCAATCAAATTATTTCATATCTCCGGCGTTGCTTTGTTATGTAATGCTTATCTACCTACGTCTATTAAGAAACAAAGAAGACAACAATTGAACCAAGTTAAACGAGGAGTCAAGTTAAGAGGAATTTTTTAATTTTAAAAGAAAATTGGTTGTTGTTTCCTCTTATCTTTTATCTCTTAAAGTGTAATCATACAACTTTTTATTTTCCAATGATACTCTCAAAAAAGACAAACAAAAACTTTCATATATGGGGTCAAAATGGACATTTGATAATTTTTAGAATTCAGAACAACGTTCTCTACATTTAGAGTTTAGAGGAAAGAAAAGTTCACCAATACCAATATACCTTTTAATGTAATTATTACACTTTCAGAGCAAACGAACATGCCCTAAGTGACCAAGTAGATAAGCATGGCCGATGTTGAGAACTAATAGTGTGGTTGTTGTTGCTCTCAATTGAGCTCTCTTAGGCTGAGATAAGGTATCTCCACCTCCCTCTTACGAGTTGGAGTCAATATGCCGGTGAGTGGTCCCGACGTTGGAAGACAACTCGTTTGGCATGGCATGGTCGACCCACTTATGCTCTCTATTATGTACAACGGCCCAAATATTACTCCCCTACAAAGTAGAAAGACAATGAATAATATTTTCTTTTGAATGGTGGTTTTGATATTTTCAAAAATTCTAAGTTGCACATGTTATTACGTGATCAAATAACTGACAATCGATTAATGGTAGGAACCAAATTAACACTATTTGAAAATTTGAGCAATGCAATGACACATTTGAAAATTTCAATACTAACTTGACACCCTTAGGGTACTAAAGTCAAATTTTTCCAATAATTATTTAAGTTTTTTATTTCAATCTAATTGATCAAATTTGACTCGAATCAAATATTCAACTAAAGTAATCTAAATCGAATTCTAATTTGAGTTTTGTCGGATAGGAATCGAATTCGAATATCATAAATTATAATTAGAAACGTTGATTCGATTCGAATTCAATCCATTTACATGTTTATATCCGATTATCTATATTTATATATATATACTTATTACGGAATGGGTGGTTTTTCCTTCCGCTAAAAGAATCTACTCGTGCGAGTAGATTAGCGCTCTCACGTGCAGATATTTTGTACGTGTAAAAAACATCTGTTTGTTCGACCAAGAGTTTGGTTCACGAGCATACAGACCTTCGAGGGAAGAACGGGAGAACGGCGAGCGTCGAGGAAGAAATCCGAGGAAGACCATCTCGTTTCAGCTGTGCCTCCCGTAGATAACCTTACTGCTCTTTGATTCTCTGTTACTGCAACCCCTGTAAGGTTTCTGGAGACGGATCTGTTCCCTTCCAAGGTATGTGGTTTTAACTTTTTCTTTCATTGCATTCGTGTTGATTTTCCCTCATTCTTCAAAATCTAGGGTTTTTCAACCTCAATGTTCTATTGTATTTGTTCTCATTTGCTCATCTTCTGTTCTCAGAAGATGATTGAGAGAAATAGGAAGTAATTGATTGAGAGAAAAAATGTGGAAAAAAGAGATAAAATAGGAATGAATATAAAATCTTTTCTTATATAACAGATTTTTTTCCTTGCATCTTGTCTGAAATTTTGAAATTCCTACAGTTTTTTTTTTTCTTAAAAAAATCGTTTTGAAGGAGGCCAAAACCTATATCCAAACCAAAATTAACCACTTTGGTTGCAGATCATGATTACAAGTAGATCCATTAGAGTTAAGGCTCAATACCCATAGACTTTTTCCTAAGATGTCCAATTTTGATTCTTATTAATAATCTTGAAAAGGGCTCTTCAGTTTGAGATGATGCCCCCATTATTTGGACTTTCGTTTTGGCTGTCATTTTAGCTCAAATTCAGCTCTTTATATAGCTTGGAGAGTCATCCTTTTGGCTTTCATTTTAGTCATTCTGTTTGTAAGGCATTATGAGACTATAAGTATAAGTACTGTTCTCCCTCAGCCACCTGAAATGATCAAAACACATTAGAAGGATGTTTCATTCATTCACTGTCTGAAAATTTGTTCCAGGTGTCCAACGCCTAATACAGCTTCAACAACTTAGGTACAGATTCAAAACAAGAAATACAAGCTTCCTGCCTAATCAACCGGAAAGTCTAATCATCCTACAAAATTTCCAAATGTCTGCATCCATGAATGCAATATTCTGGAGGTGGAAAGGTCTGTAAATACAAGAATGCAAACACTTATTTGATTCACCAGCTCCTCATTAGACACAGAGCTTTTATCTTCTGATGCAACATTTATAGCTGATGACAATTTAATTGTAAGAGCACTATCAGCACATTCAGATGTGAAGTTCAAAGCACCTGAAATCTTGTCATGAATCTTTCTCTCCACTACATATGTTTCACCATGTCCAGCTTTATGATCTGAACACAAATAAACAGTTTGTTAATCCAAGGATAAAGGACCCTGCCTACTTCCTGAGTCATTTTGTTCACTAGTATGCCTCCATGTGAAGATGAGAGGAAACCATTTTGCTTCATCTCTTTCCACAGTTTCAATGAGTCATTTTCCTCCAAAGGCCCAGTTGATCTCCTACACTCCGAAACCTCTCTGGATTTAACATGACCATAAATTTCATAAGGAAAATTGATTTTTGATCAACTGAGCTGGAGACATCTGTTGCATTGAGATCCAATCCGGTGCCTCTTGAAGCTGTAAAATTACCACCATGATCTTTCTGATGCTTTGCAAGCAAAGATGGCTTGCTAACATCATCATTCTCATTTTCATGAGATGATTAGGTCAACTAATTCCTGAATCATGAACATTTTCTGGGTCTTTCTTTCTATCATTTACTTCCTTTCCTCTTTTTAAATGGCTTGCTGATCTGCTTTGAATGTGACCATTTTCAAGCTTTTCACATCTGACTAGGGCCTCAATTATAGAATGGACCTGTTTACTATTCCTCACATAGTTAATGATCCCAGGGTTCAATTCATTGAGTAAACCCACTAGGGGTTGCAATCTT